ATGGCCCCTCGCCCAACAGGGCACAAAAAGACCCAAGATGCCCCCAAAAGAACACCAAGATGGGCCACGGAGGCGTCAAAATAGCCTAAGATTGCCCGAGGCGACCCGAAGGTGGCCCCCAAAGGCCCCACATTGCCTCCGAGAGGTTCCAACGTGGCCCCAGCAAGCACCCACACCTTCCCAATATAGCCACAAGATGGCTCAGCCTGGGGCTCTAGCGGCAGAGGGCACAGCCCCTCTGACAACATCATATGGAAAGGGATGCAGGGGGACGAGCTGCGAAGGGGCCAGCGGCTGGGAGGCCGGTGCACGCGGGCACGAAGCGTGAGAACTACAAAACGAGAAGGCACAACAAAACTTTCGGAGCTCCGCGCGGAATTATTGGATCGGCGATGGATCACCCCTTCCCTGGGGTGCGGAGCGCGCCAGGGGCTGCGCAGGGGCGCCGCCAGAGGCTTTCTTTTCCCTTATAAACAACTCCTCCCTGTCGCACCCCGAGGCGCGTCGGTGGGGCGGGCCGGGCGGTTCGCCTGACACTCCCTCACCACTTATAATCATAAGCTGAGAATTGGCGAACATTTCACGGATGGAGGGCTGGCCGTTTTCAAAATGCGGCTTTCGCCTTAGCGCCGCGCACATTCGCTTTGAACATTGCAACAAGCTTCCTGGATAAAGGGCGGACGGTGTTCAAAACGTAGCTCTCGCCTTAGCGCCGCGCGCATGCGCCGCGCACATCGTCGCAAAGATTGCAAGAGTGTCACAGATGGAGGGCGGCTCCCTTTCAAAATGTGGCTCTCGCCTCAGCACCGCGCACATTCGTTTCGAGAGTGAATAACAGGTTCAAATATTATCATGCCTAACGTCCCCCAAGTGATGTTTTGGCGCGATGTCCGATCAGGGCGCGACAGTTACGTTGATTTGCGGTGTTGAAGTCCCAGGAAGGGCTTTCTCGCGCGATTCATGATCGCCAAGGCGAAACAATTACGGTGACTCGCGGCGTTGAAGTCCTGGGAAGGATGGGCGGTTCATTCCAATATCGTTGATGAGCCCTGGGTTTACGCTGGTCCTCCTCCTCCTCCTCCCTCTCCTCCTCCTCCTCCTCCTCCCCCTCCAGCTGCCCCACCCCCTTCCCCTTCCCCTCATCGTTCCTCTCCTCCTCTTCCTCCTCCTCGTCTTCCTCCCCCTCCCCCTGCTCCTCCTCCTCCTCCTCCTCCTCCTCCTCCTCCTGCTCCTCCTTCCCCTCCACCTGCCCCACCCCCTTCCCCTTCCCCTCATCGTCCTCCTCCTCTTCTCCTCTCCTCCTCCTCCTCCTCCTCCTCCTCCTCCTCCCTCCTCCCCCCTCCTCCTCCTCCTTCTCCTCCTCCTCCTCCTCCTCCTCCTCCCCCTCCTCCTCCTCCTCCTCCTCCACCCCTCCTCCTCCTCCTCCTCCGCCTCCTCCTCCTCCTCCTCCTCCTCTCCCTCCTCCTCCTCTTCGCCCTCGCCCTCGCCCTCTTCTTCCTCCTCCTCCTCCTCCTCGCCTCCTCCCCCTCCTCCTCTTCCTCCTCCACTTCCTCCTCCTCTTCCTCCTCCTCCTCTTCCTCCTCAGCTCCCCTTCCCCTCCTCTCCTCCTCCCCCTCCTCCTCCTCCTCCTCTTCTTCTTCTTCGTCTGATTATTAGTATTATTCTTAGTATTTGTCTTGTTGTTATTATTATTGCTACTTGTTGTTATTATGATTCGTCTTATTATTATTATTATTAGTATTAGTATTACTACTACTATTCTTATTATTATTATTATTATTATCATTATTATTATTACTATTATTATTATTATTATTATTACTATTATCAGTATGATTATTATTGCTAGTGTAACTATAAGTATTATTATTAGTATTATCATCATCTGTACTAGTAGTATTAATAATATTCTTATAATTATGATTATTACTACTATTCATATTATTACTAATAATAATTAGTATTATTAGTATTAGTATTAGTATTATTATTAGCAGTAGGATCGCAATTATTATTGTTATTCCTTCTCCTCCTCCTCCTCCTCCTCCTCCTCTCCTCTTCCTCTTCCTCCTCCTCCCCTCCCCCTTCCCCCCCCCTCCTCTCCCCCTCCTCCTCCTCCTCCTCTCCTCCTCCTCCTCCTCCTCCTCCTACTCCCCTCTTCCTCCTCCTCCTCTCCTCCTCCTCCTCCTCCTCCTCCTCCTCCTCTTCCTCTTCCTCTTCCTCTTCCTCTCTCCTCCTCCCCCTCCTCCTCCTCCTCCTCCGCCTCCTCCTCCTCCTCCTCTCCTCCCCCTCCTCCTCCTCCTCCTCCTCCTCCTCCTCCTCCTCCCTCCGCCTCCCTCCCTCCCTCCCTCCCTCCTCCCTCCTTCCCTCCTTCCCTCCTTCCCTCCTTCCCTCCTTCCTCCCTCCCTCCCTCCCTCCCTCCCTCCATCCCTCTCCTCCTCCTCCCTTCTTCCTCCTCCTCCTCCACCTCCTCCTCCTCCTCCACCTCCTCCTCCTCCCCTTCCTTCTCCTCCCCACCCCCTTCCCTCCCCTCCCTCTCCCCCTCCTCCTCCTCCTCCTACTCCTCCTCCTCCTCCTCCTCCTCCTCCTCCTCCTCCTCCTCCTCCTCCTCCTTCTCCTCCTCCTCCTCCTCCTCCTCCTCCTCCTCCTCCTGCTCCCCCTCCTCCTCCTCCTTTTTTTCCCCGCGCCGACAGCGCCGACCGCCCTCAGCGCGCTGGTCGCCCGCTCTCCCGCACCGCTGCGAGGGGACGAAACCCAGACCCCCCGGGGGCCCTTCCCGGAAGTGGGTCGAGACCTCTTGGGGTCGACGCTGTGAACAAGAACGTGACATCGGGGGGCTGGGCCCCTGGAGGCAGCGGCCGCCTTCGGGTCCGTCCGGGATGGCCAGCAGGGGGCGGCGGAGGAGGAAGCGACTGGAGATCGAGGGCGACGACTCCAGGATGCTCCAGGCTCTGGATTTAAGAGATCATTATCTTTGGGCTGAAAAAACCTTTTCGGTGGTAAAACATAAGATGTGGCCCAAGAAACTGAATCTTCGAGGCTCCCCGGTTGCGATCTGTGTGAGGGGTGTGCCAAAATTGGCCGACCAACCCACTAGCCAACCAGCCAACCGACCACCAGCCAACCAACAAAGCAAGCAACCAACGAACCAACCGCTTAATCAAACTGGAAAAACATTGGTTGACCCAGCAGCTGGATGCCCACAGCGAAGGCGACGACGACGCCGAGGACGACGACGACGACGACGACGACGACGGAAACGACGATGACGACGAAATACATTGGAATGGAATGAAATTGAATGGGATGGGATTTGGGATGGGATGCAATACAATGAATTGGACTGGACTGATTTGGAATGGAATAAAACAGAACAGAACGAGAGCGGGAGTACCAACAAGCGGCGGTGGCTCCGTTCCGTTTCGTTCCATTCCAGTCGACTCCATTTCATTCCAATCAATTCCATCCCATCGCCTCGCATCTCATCCCGTCACATTCCATCATCACATTCCATTTCATTCCGTCGTCGTCGTTGTCGTCGTCGTCTACATCGTCGTCGTCTTCGTCGTCGTCATCGTCGTCCGTCGTCTATCGTCCGTCGTTCGCCGCCGTCGTCGTCGGCGTCGTCCGCGTTGTCGCGTGGCAAGCCCAGTTTGTTGTCCCCCCCCAGCGTTCCCACGTGGCGAGCAGAGTAAAATTGTATGCTTCCGCCCCGCGGCGTTGCCATGTGAAGAGTTTGGTGGACCAGTACTGTTTGGCTCCCGGGCGTTGCCACGTGGCGAGCGGAGCGGAACTCTATTCCTCTCGGGCCCCGCGGAGCTGCCATGTGACGAGTAGGATGGAATACTCCCTCTTCGGCCCCCCAGGCGTTGCCACGTGGCGAGGGCGTGGCACAGCATCTGTTGTCCGCTCTCCCCCGGCGTCGTCACATGACGAGCAGGGCGGAATAGTACGCCTGTTCGCCCTCCAGGCGTTGCCACGTGGCGAACAGAGCTGAACAGTTGGTTTCTGCCCCGAAGCGTTGTCATGTGACGGGCAGGACATTCCGGTTCCGGCGTGGTGCATCGAAACTGTACTGCATTGCATTGATTTGGATTGCATTGGCAATGAATTGCGCTTGCGTTGAATTTCAGCGCTGCACATTGCACTGCAGTGCACTCGCAGGTGCACACGATTTCGTTTACAGGCAAGCTGAATACGAGTTGACCACCATCAAACGCCAAAATGGCCAACTAGCAAGCCGATCAACCAACAAACCAGCCTACCTACCAACCAACCCAGGAACCAACCAACCAATCCTTCTCGTGGCATTGAGGATGTCCCACACCCTGGGGCCCAGATCTGATTTTTTCACCCAGCAGCCAGCCAACCAGCCAACCAACCAGCCAAACGCTACAGAAATAAATGTCCCCGAGCAATAATTTGATTGTCTTAACCCTTCTCCCGACGACCCCGACGTCGGGGGCGAGGGCGACGTGGATGCCGCAACGCCCTCGGAGCCCGTGGAGGGCGAAGGCGAGAAGGCAGCGCCCATGGAGGCGAGGGCGACGGGGCACAGGGGGTCAAGCCCATCGAGAGGCCCTCGAGATCCCGGGCAGGACTCCGAGGCCGCGGGTGTGGACACGCCCCAGCGGCGGACTCCTGCCCACCGTCGCCGCAGCGTCTCGAGGCCCGAGCCACCGAGCCCGCCCGCGGCCTCCCGTGCCCCCCAGACATCCGATGTCCCAAGCTTCTCGACACGGGGCCCCTGGAGAGGCCTGGACCTCTTCCCCCCGGGGCCGGCTCGTCATCCTGAGTCGTTTCTTGGCGGTGCCGGGGCCCAGCGAAGCAGGCAGGCAGGCAGGCAGTCCGATCGAGTAAATGCTCGGCCCAGGACCGGGCGCGACCGTGTTGGATCTCAAGCATCACTGTTGGGGCTCGGCGAGGGGGACTGCGAAAAACCTCCGCCTTGAGCTCCTCGGGACGATGGAGGCCTGGCAGCCGCGCGGGCCCCGCCCGTCCTCGAGGGCGACGGGGACCGCGCGCCCGGCGGCATCTGGCGCGGGCGGGCGGCGCGGGACTCCCCGCGAGTGCGGGCGAGGGCCTCCTCCCAACTAAGGCCTCCTCATCGCGTAGCCTGCAGGTTGCGCCCTCGCAGCCGGTTCCTCACGTCTCGTACTGTCTGGCGTTGGCCTCATCGTATCGATGAGCGTCCGGGGCGAATCAACCGAAGGAGTGCAGAACAGCCATAAGCACAGGCTGTTCAGGGAAGGGATGGTGTCGCGACGTTGAAGAGATTGGGGGAAGTGTGAATTCGGCAGTGCGAGCGTGCACCCACGTTGCACTCTGCGCAGTCCGTGGATCGCGAGCTGGGGTCGCTCCCAGCTCCGCTACTAACTAGAATTGCGGGAAGCATGGGTGGAAGGACGAAGACATGGCGACAATGGCAACGCGAGAGGCAGCAAATCGTATGTCCTTTTCCCTTCAATACGTGTCAGTCCGCGTGCATGCTGTAAACAAGAATGGCAGCCGGTGCGCACGCGTGCTCCTGTTCGAGTGTCGGAGAGGCCGCGGGAGGTCGGGAGGAGGAGAGGGAGAAGGGAGGGCGGGGGGACTCCTTCTACTCCTCTCGCTTCCCTCCTCGTCCTCGTCGTCCTCCCCCTTCACCTCCTCCTTGTCCTTTTCCTCCTCCTCGTCCTCATCCAAGTCCTCCTCTTGCTTCTCCTCCTTCTCCTCCTTCTCCTCCTCCTCCGCCTCCTCCGCCTCCTCTTCTTCAATCGCCTCGTCCCCTAAATGCCACCTCGAGTTTTCCTCATGCCTCATCCCTCCTCCTCCTCCTCCTCCTGCTCCTCCTCATCCTCATCCCTCCTCCTCCTTCTCCTCCTCCGCACTGCTCCTAATCCTCCTCCTCCTCCTCCTCCTTTTCTTCCTGCTCCTCCTCCTCCTCCTTATGCAACCCACAACACTCACAGAGCGAAAGGGGCGGGGCCTCACGTCTGGGGGCCTCGGAAACAAGCAAGGCGGAAGCCTGACACATATGATCCCTCCTCCTCCTCCTCCTCCTCCTCTTCCTCTGGCTCCTTTCCTCCTGCTCGTTAAGGGCTTAACGACTTACATAGTCGTTCGATTCGCTCTGGAGCGTCCACAAACTGCTCCAGATCTCCCTGGAGATCTCTGGAGTAACCTCGATGCATCTGGCCTGATCCCCGCAAGTTGATTGGACACGATCGTCAGGCCCGTATGGACCTGATCCTCCTCAACTACCTCATCCTCCTCCTCCTCCCGCGTCCTCTTCCCACTCCTCCTCCTCCGCCTCCTCCTCTTCCTCCTCCTCCTCGCATTCCTCCTCCTCATCCTCATCATTATCATCCTCTTCATCCTCCTCCCATCCTCCTCGTCCTCCTCTTCCTCCTGCTCGTTGTCCACCTCAACCTCCTGCTCATCAGCATCAGCATCGTCATCATCAGCATCATCATCATCAGCAGCAGCAGCACATCATCATCATCATCATCATCATCATCATCATCATCATCATCATCATCATCATCATCATCATCAGCATCAGCATCAGCATCAGCAGCAGCATCATCAGCATCATCAGCATCAGCATCAGCATCAGCAGCAGCAGCACCATCATCCTCATCATCAGCCGCAGCAGCAGCAGCTGCAGCAGCATCATCATAATCGTCAACATCATCAGACTCTTCTTCTTCCTCCTCCTCCTCATCATCATCACCAACACCAACATGATTGTCATCATCATCATCATCATCATCATCAGCATCATCATCATCATCGCCGTCATCATCAATAGCAGCATCATTACCATCATCATCATCATCATCATCATCATCATCATCATCACCAGCATCATCATCAACATCAACATAAGCATCATGGTTATCAGCATTATCATCAGCATCATCATTAGTATCGCCATCATCATCACCATCACCATCCTCATCACAATCACAACCACCATCATCATCTCATCACCATCATCATCATCATAATCATCATCATCATCATCATCATCATCATCATCATCATTAGTATTACCAACACCATCCCCAACAGCAGCATCAGCATCACTATGATGTGCATCGTGGTCCTCATAACCATCATCGTCATCATCATCATTATCATCCCGTTATCCTCCTCCTCCTCCTCGCCAACATCATCAATCCAATCATCATGGGCACTATCGTCAGCATCATGGTATCGTCATCATGATGATTACCATCATCTTCATCATCACCATCATCAACCATCATCATCATCATCATCATCATCATCAGCATCAGCACCATCATCATCATCGCCATCGCGATCACCACATAATCATCATCATTATCGCTAGTGTCATCGTCATAATCGTCAATAAAGGAAGACTGATCGAGATCATCGTCGTTGTCGACAACACCAGCATCATCACCATCATCAACACCATCATCATCATCATCATCATCATCATCATCATCAAGATGTCATCACCATCATCATCATCATCATCATCATCATCATCATCATCATCGTCACTATCACCGTCACCGTCACTGGCATAATCATCATCAGCAGGAGCATCATCCTCATCATCGTCATCGTCACCACTACAACCACCACCATCATCATCATCATCATCATCATTATCATCATCAACAGCATCATCACTATCATCACCATCATTATCATCATCATCATCATCCTCATCATCATCATCAGCACATCACCAACAACAACATCATCACCTTCATCGTCGTCATCATCACCATCACCACCACCACCACTATCACACTCATCACCATCACCACCATCATCACCATCGTGATTACCATCATCGTCATCACCATCATCATCATCACAACCACCATCATCATCATGCTCATTATCATCATCGTCATCATCGACACCGACATCAACACTTCATCATCGCAATCACCATCAACATCACCATCACCATCAACACCACCACCATCACCATTCTCATCACCATCACCAGCACCATCACTTCTTCATCATCATCTTCGTCCTTCTCCTCATCAGCATCACCATCACCATCACCACCACTATCATCATCATGACCATCATCACCATCATCTTTAACGACAACATCATCACCACCACCATCACCATCATCATCATCAGCATCATCATAACCATCATCATCACCACAACCACCATCATCAACATCATCATCACCACCACCACTTTCATCATCAATATTACCACCATCACCATCACCATCACCATCACAATGACCATCATCATCATCGTCACCACCACCATCAACATCATCATCACTATCATCATCAGCAGCATCATCATCACCACCACCATCATCATCATCATGATCATGATCCTGAGCATCATCATCATCATCACCATCATCACCACCACCACCAACATCACCATCACCATCACCATCACCACCATCACCACTATCATCATCATCATCATCATCATCATTATTATTATTACTATTATTATTATAATTATTATTATCATCATCATCATCATCATCATCGTCATCGTCATCATGGCCATTACCATCGCCATCATCATCACCATCATCAAAATCAAGACAAGCCCCCTCGAGGCCTCTGCGTAGCCCTCGTCGCCGGGTCGCACAAGGATGGGCCGCGACCGGGGCGCCGGGTACATGTAGAGGTCCTGGGGCTCCTCCTACCTCCCTCCCCTCCTCCTCCTCCTCTCCTCCTCCTCCTCCTCCTCCTCTCCTCCTCCCCTCCTCCTCCTCCTCCTCCTCCTCCTCCTCCTCCTCCCCTCCCTCCCTCCCTCCCTCCCTCTCCTCCCTCCCTCCCTCCCTCCCTCCTCCTCCTCCTCCTCCCTCCTCCCCCCCTCCACCTTCCAACTCCATCTTTCTACTCTTCTCTTCCTCCTCCTCCTCCTCCTCCTCTCCTCCTTCCCTCCCTCCCTCCCTCCACCCGCCGGCCTCAGATCTCGCTCTCATCCTGTGCCCGAGCGCTGTTCTCCCGCAGACATGGCACGCCGAGCGCACCGCGATGAGTGGTACCGCGAGACTCACAGCGGCCCAGGTCGTGCCTTCATTGAGTTCGAGCGCAATGACCTCCAACTTTTCATGGAAGTATCTAGGCCTAGGCCAAGATCAAGGACACCAAAGATCTCAAACACGACACGGCCAGGCTCAAGGACCACTGGGAATCCCCAAGAGCCACTAGAGGCGGACACCCAGGAGCCCAAGGACAACAAGGCCAACAAGCTCAACGATAGCAAGGAGCTAAAAGGCAACCAGGAGCTCAAGGGCAACGAAGCTGGAACCGCCGAGAACTCTGTAACGCACTCCGCCACAGCCATCACGGAAGCGCAGGTCCAGCAATCTTGGAACTCATTGTCGACACTCAGCAGCTGGCAGGACTGGGAGATCATGCTTTCCAAGGGCAAGGATTCCGAGATATTCCTTGAGAGCTTCCTCAAGACGAAGGTCGGGAGCAACAGGGAGACCAGCAAGTGCTTCACTGTGAAGCACTTGCTGCAGACTCTGTGAATCACAGAGTCAGCCACAGCTGCAGCCTGGCAAACGTTGTCCAAGATGTGGGACGCGGAACTGCGCAAGGCAAGAGCTCTGCAGCACGAGAAGATGCACAAACTGTGGCTCCAGGAGCAGCTCAACCGCCGCAACTCTGCCAATTGGTGCCGCAAGAAAGTCGCCAAGACGATTATGCTCCTCCAGGTCGGTGGGGACTGGACTGCCTCGGCATTGCCCTTGCCCCTAGGCGTGAGGAGGCCCGCCGCCGACTCGCTGGAAGACGACCAGCACCACAGCAAGCGCCATCCCTCTCTCTCCCTCCCTCCTCCACTCCCTCCTCCCTTCGTCCGCCTCCCTTTTCCCTCCTCCCTCGTCCCTCCCGCCCTTCCTCCCGCCCGCCCGCCCTCCCTCCCTCGAGACCAATCTGGCGCGCCGCTGTCCCGTGCGGCCCTCCCTCCCTCCCCCCCTCCTCCCTTCCTCCCTCACGCCCTCAACAGCAGGTTGCACGCAGATGGCAGCAGCACTTCGCTGGACTGGAACTGGCTGCCACATTGCCAGTCAGTGATGTGCCGACGTTTGCAGGATACATCGGGCGTGCACCTTATGCACGTATGTCGACCGACCCTGTTGCTCTTGCGTCCGTCCCGTCACTTGCGGATTTCCAGTGGTCATGCCGACAGGCTCGCAGATCTGCCCCTGGCTGTGATGGGATCTCTGGCGGCCTCGTGAAGGCCCACCCTACGGCTGTAGCAGAATTCTACTACCCTCTGCAGCTTAAGTGTGCACTTACTTTGGTGGAACCCGTGCAGTGGAAAGGGGGATTTTATCGGGACCTCATCAAGTCTGGACATGCCGACCCCACCCAGTGTGGAAGCTCCAGGTCCATATTGGTGTCTTCCCAGATAGGGAAGGCCTCCCGACGCTGCCTCAGGAACCAACTACTGCCATTCCTGGCCTCAGAGGCTGGCGAGACACAGTTCGGTGGGCTACCAAGACGTGGAACGACTCATGCATCCCTGGTGCTTCGGGTATCTCAGTCCCTGGCCAGGCTCAGGCAGCTGTCATTCGAGGCACTTTTCATGGACGTCGTACAGGCCTTCTACAGGGCCATTCGGGAGCTCGTGGTGCGTGCCCACCGCGAAACCGACCTCGACGATCTGACAATTGCTACGCTCGTTCGGGCTGCAGGCTTGCCCCCAGCCGCCATGCACCAACTTGCCGAACGGATACGCCAGCGCACCGACGCCCTGTCCCGCTCTCAGCTTGACCCTCACACGGTGGCTCGGGTGGAACAGTGTTACCAGGCCCCCTGGTTCGTCTGTGAGGGCTCAGGACAGGTATCATTGCCTCAGAGGTCATTCTTCCCAGGCCAACCACTCGCGGATGTCCTCTTTGAGATACAGATGGCCGACTGTATGCAGGAGGTTCGCACTCAGATGATCTCCGACGGGACCCCCTATCAGTTGCCCAAGGCCGAACACCTCAGGTCACTCGAGCCCTTGGTGGCCGACCCCGCCGCGGAGCCGCCTCCAGCCAAGCACCCACTGGTCGACCTATCATACGCCGACGACGGGACAGTAATCCTCATCATGCCCGCGGTGCAGATACATGAGGCTCTCAGTCGTACGCTAGTGCTTGTGTCGGACGCTTTGACACGACGAGGACACCGACTCAACGTCGGGCCCTCCAAGACGGCTGCTTTGATCATGTGGCGTGGGCACGGGATAAAGCGCGCACGACATGCGGCATGGCACGAGCATGGTGGGTACATACGCGGGGAATCGGACATCTTAGGACCTCTGAGCGCACCCATCGTACACAATTACATACACCTCAGCTCGGTGTTCGACGCAAGTGCTGCGATGACACCCGAGATTAGGTACCGAGCGTCTACCACAGTATCATCACTACAAGTTCTCCGACGCAGGGTTTTTGCTACCGACGAGCTGACGCTACAACACAGGCTCATATTGGCCGACAGCCTTGTGATGTCTGGGAGATAGTACAACAGTGGTGCCTGGCCAGTGATCAAGCCATCAGAGGCCCAACTAGCCCACATCGAGACCATGAAAATCTACCGCGCTGCTGCGCGTGTTCGGTTCCAGGAGAGTTCTTCCCAGGTCTCCGACGAATTGGTACTTGCGCGCCTGAGACGACCTGCCCCTGCTATCTTGCTACGTGCTGCTCGGCTTCGTCTCTTGGGATCTTTGTGCCACACCGGGCCCCAGCTGGCATTTGCAGTCGTGACGGCCGAATGGTTAGCGGCACCCGACGCACATGCACGTCAACGCACCACACTAGGGCAATGGGTTCAGGATCACAGCTGGTTGCGGACAGCGGTCAAACAGTGCCATGACCTGCCCCCGCCCGATACTGACCTACATGCTTGGGAATGCCTTATCCGACGCTGCTAGCCTGCCTGGAAACGTATCATACGAATTGGGGGTGCATGCGCATACGCAGTACCAGTCCAGGCTCACGCTCGCACGCAACTTGGAGGCTCGGTTCTTTGCAGAAGTGCATGCAGCAGGAGTGCCCGCACGTGTGTACACTGATGACAGAGGCCTCCTTGTGCCGCCGCCGCCAGCAGATATGCCCGCCATGGAGTGCCCGTGGTGCGGACAAGGATTTGCGCGACATCGGGCACTGCGCACGCATGTGGCACGCATGCACCGACAGCTGTCGACACTGGCGCGAGGGTATGTTGGACACGACGGTGTGTGTGTGTGTACGATATGTATGCTGAAGTTTAATGCCCGACCGCATCTAGTGGATAATCGTTCGTTAGATTATTCCAGATGCTTGTTAGCGAACGTACTCAGCATGGACAACCCTGCCTACCATCTACACAGCACTACACAGCCTGCCCAGCCTACCGGACACACTAATCACGTCTGCATACCACGACGACATGTGATAGTGCCGACACGTCGTATTCCTGGCCCACTTACACAAGTGGCCGCCGACATGGGTAAACTAGTACCGCAGGAATACGCCAGACAGGTCTTGTGGGAGACTGACCCCTACTTGACGCCAGCTGCCTGTGCCGTGTTCATGCCTCCACCTACCCCTGCGCACGACGAGGACGTGCCCCCCGAGCCCTACCCGCCCGCCCAATCAGAACGGTACCCGACTAGGATGTTTCTGACCGAGCAGTATGTTGGTATGGCGGCACAGAGTTTGCCCAGCGCGATCCGACGGACAGAATACTACATCCTTAACCTGTACCGTGGGAGACGACGACCAGGAGACTTTCAGGCCAGTCTGGAATGGACCCAGTATAATTCTGACTTTTCGGTCATTGTTTTATCGATCGACACCGCTATCGACCCAGTCCTCGGTAACGTGATGCGTCGTGAGTCCCTCGAGGTTTGGAAGGAGCACATTCGAGCAGGACGTGTCGTGCTGTCTGGAGGGGGACCCCCAGGCGAGACCTGGGCCGCCATTCGCTGGGCCCCTGATGCAGGCCCCCCGCCACTGCGATCTCACGACGATTTCTGGGGACTCTTGGCGGTCACACCTCGTCAGATGGAGCAGCTCCGTGTGGGCAACGAGCTTCTAGGAGCCATGATTGAGCTGTTCGCCGTGCACTTGACTGTTGGGACGTGCTGCTGGATGGAACATCCCATGCCAGCAGGGTGGAGACAGGAGGCAGTCAGCTCGTTCTGTTGTCCGCCCCTCCGGGCGGTAATGGCGTCACCCGCAGCATCAGTCACCGACTTCGATCAATGCGAACACGGTCAGGTTGCCAGGGCCCCTACACGTATATTAGCGCTGCGCATGGGCACACTACACGAGCGACTGCTAGAGACGCCAGGGCGCGGACGATGCTCACACGGACGTGGGGCTCATGAGGTGCTCATGGGGTTCGACAGGGCTCGGGATGAGTGGCGTACTGCCAAGAAAAAGACATACCCACCCGCGTTATGTCAAGTACTGGCTGATGGAATCACGGATGCCATCAACCATATGCGTGTCTCGCGTGACGATGACGTGTGGCCAGAGGACATGAGGGAGGAGGAGGAGGTGGAGGAGGAGGAGGAGCTTCGTGGGTCTTTGAGGGCTTTCTTTGTAGAGTGGGACCCATACCTCGGGACCGACGAGTCTTGGGCGCCCGATTTTGTTGCTTCCCGATCTGGTCGTGCCCTTGCAGACCCAGAGCGGG